TATACTATAGATGCGGCCTACAAATGTAAGGATTTCCCAAATCTTATATATATATTAGTTATTGTTTTTCAGTAATTTTCTATATTCAGGCTTGGGTGGCTGTCACCTTGATTGGTTAATAAACCTAAAATCACAGAAACTGGTTTGTAAAGTTTGTGCACATTAAACCAACAAGATCAGTGTGGCTGCATACATGATTAGGCAGTAGGTGTCTGAATGGCAGCTGTTATAAGTTCTCTGGTCATATCATACTTTCATGCAATCATTACAAGATGCCTTAATCCTTTTCTGTGGTTTCAAGGTTCTTCAACTGATCTAGTTGACAGCCGAGTACAAATTCAGTTTTTTGTTGGTATCTGTGTGACTGTTGTTTTGTTTTTACAGACAAGGGGCAGCAGAAGTCCGCAGGCAGATCTCATCAGCACATATCAGGGACATCCCCAAAAGCATTAGTGGAGGTTCTCTTGCAAGTGGAGGATCTCTTGCAAGCGCACAATCAGTAAGAACAAACTATTATGAATACTGAATCATATGCATTTTCGAGTTAGTAGTATTATCATTATTTATCTTTTGCCATGAATAAATGCAGTATCATTTACTCAATCTTTTGGAGAAATCTATCAAAAGCACTACACAAAGTGATTGGCTGCAGAAATGTCTCTTCTCCAAATTTCCAAATTTTGACATAGCAGGCCTTATAAACCAAAGTGCTGTTTTGTGACTTAGAGTTTCAGATTTGGGATTGAAAGGGCTACATTTATTAAAATACAATTTCATTGTGCGTTTGGAAAAAATACTTGTTATGAACACCACATTTTAAACTACAAACCTTACCCTTACCCTCCCATTCTATGGGACCGTTCACATGAAAAATCTATTTTCTCAAAATCTAAAAATCTATTGGCGGTATCTTGTGATCATGGTCTGTGCTCTGAATACCCCACTGCCTGCAGTAGTATCTCTAAGCTGTGGAGTTCATCAGTTTAGTTGTGACGACTCAAGCATACAGACGCCTAATATGACTAGTGATAGTGCTTGTTGTTGCACAAAATCGATAAACACATTTTTCAAAGCAACTGCGACCGCCATTTACTTTCTAACTACCTACTGCGCATGCGTCAAGGTATGAGAATCTCCTCCGAGCGCAGCTGAGAATTAATTACAGCTTTGGAAGTAACTCGCTCGAGCTGCCAGTAATTACGCCGCGGGGTATTCAGGGCACAGACAGTGATAACAAGATACCGCCAATAGATTTTTAGATTTTTAGAAGGAAGATCTTTCATGTGAATGGTCCCTATATATATGTATGTGCCGAAGGATGCATTACGTAATATACTCTCTTATTTATATGCTTTAGCCTAGGAATATTAAGTTATAGCAATAAATTGATTCATTTTGAAGCATTTTATTTGTTTTACTAATAATAATGTTAATTCACAAACATCATTTATCATTTATGAAGCCTGCACTGAGAAGTATAATTGAATTCCGTGTAGAATTATTTGGTTTGCCAATAGTGTCAGATATACTCAAACAGTTTAGAACTTAGCATGTGTCTGGATTTCCTGTAAACAAACACAAAATTGCATTACACTGTAAAGAATCACAATGGGGTTAATGAAAAGTTAATTTTACAATGAGTAGTTTCCAGGAAAAAAATTGCCTCACCTTACTGTGTAAAAAAACACATATCAGTAATTCATTTCTCTTGTCATGTGCAATAATGATTCCATCTTCAATGCAGAAAATTGTGAATTTTACAAATAATATACTTTTAAGTCACCAGTTTTTAATATTAAGACATTCTTTTCAATGATAGCAAAAAAAAAAAAAAAAAAAAGTTGAATTGCAGACTACTTTATAGTTGTATTAGATACAGTAGAAGGACCACAAATGCACAGGAATATATTTTTAATGATCCCTGATTCCCAAAATTCTGTTTTGTATCAGAAAGGTAGAGTCATTACCATATTTTACTGATCTATCTTTATCAAGTTTATTACTTTACCAGATTACTGTAATGGTATACTTTTCTGTTACGATATAATATGTGTACCTTGTATCCTAAACCAATGCTATATTTCAAAGCAACCATTGCAACCATTTGATATTTGTACATATTGCAATTTTGCAGCGTGAAAATAATCAGTTGCTGGGACCACTGTGGCATATTTCAGGCATTATTGCAGTAAATTCACTCTAAAACTTGTCTTTCTAGAAATTAAAGAATAGGGAAATTAGTAAATGTTATTTGTTGTGCACCATAAGTATTTATATATTTATAATTGTTTTATATGTAATACTGAAACAACTTTATGAATAGTTTTAGAAATTTGAGACCATAAAAGCACAACAAATTATCTGTGGGTGTCACATTTTTGTAAACTTATATTAAATTTCAAGTACTTCATGGAGGAATTCAATCTTTGAGCTTAGTCGGTGTTGGCATTTCTTTAAAGGATGTTTCATGTCTTGAGACATACAAATAAATAATGTAAAATGAATGATAGAGTTTACATAACAAACCTTCCTCTTAGCACTTGGGAAATGGCATCTTGATAATTTTTGTGTATTTGTTGTATATCCTTTTATCCTTATAGAATCGGGCCATTTAAAAACCATTAAGCTAACCTAGATATGAGAGAAACGTTTGCCCCAGATGTTCTTGTAACCAAGGTGATTTTATCCACAGGTATCCAATTTACATTTTATGACTCTGTTGATGGAAATTAAGGCTGACTTATGCAGAAAAGTATAGCTTTCAGTTGGATTGGGTCTAGTAAGCTGTGTTATACAGTATATGCTGTTGTTTTTTCATTAGTCTTCGGCTCATCTTCAAGTTATCGCCTCTTATGAAATGAAAAATGAAGAGAGCAAGGGGCTGTGTTAATATTAGACGTAGGCTTGCGTCAGTAGGAGTAAGTTGTTTGATGCAGAATCAGAGTTGTTGTTAAAATGTTCATTTGTATACCTTTTAATAATATTTTTACATGAGGTGAGCTGTTAAACACATAGCAGATACAATGATTTATAGGTTTGGAATTGTGTTAGCAGTTTTTTTTTTAAATGGGCGAGGAGAGCTTACAGCTGCTGATGTAATTTGGGGTATATTTTTTGCAAAAAAAATGTACATGGTGCAGTGGTAAATCATCACTTTGTAACCAAATGATATCTAGTTATGTGCAGATGGTAGAATAAAATTAGATAATGTATCTTGAATCAGTTTTATATATATATATATTTATGTAGTCTTTCAAACTTTTTTTCAGATTTCGCTGAATGATGTCGTCGATCCCCCAGATTTTGAAGATGTTTTGGTCCAGCAAGAATATCTCATTGAGAGGGACCCCATGCAACATCTCCTAGAATTCCCCAGAGATGACATTGATGTGAAACTGCTTCCCAGAAAATGTAGGACCATAGCCCCAGTTATTCCAGAGCATGGGTGAGTCAGAGGGTATGATGAATGGGTACATAACATACAGAAGTGAGTCAGGGATGGATATTTGAGTTACAGACAAGGAAGTGAGTGACAGTTGAAGAGTTTATTACAGAATTTGGGAGAAGAGAGAGGGGGGGATGGGGGGGATTAAGACGATTGAGAAGAATTTATAAATGGCTCATGTGAAATATTTTATTTTTAGCTCTGAAAGTGACCCACATGTGAGAGACTGCATTAGGACCTATTCCTCAGACTACACTGTGGTGAACAGAAAGTAAGTGGTTAAAAAAAGGAAATATTTAAAATGTAAACATTGCTCAGATGAGAAATGCCATGTTTTGTTTCCATGACAAAAGGTTATGCACAGCACATTTAAGCTTCATGCTTTAAGGATAACATGTAAATTTAGCGCCATCTGTTGCCAGGTACCAGGTGTTCAGCTCCAGCCGTAACAGTAAACTCAGGGAGGTCCAGAAGGTCCAGGAGGCTGTGTCCAAACAAGAGTATGAGGTGGACACAGAAGACGATTTGGAACAGACTGTGGTCAGTTCTTACTTCTCTGCTCTTTAGGCTGTTTTGAATTTTTTTCAGAAATCCTTGATATATAAATTTTTATGTTGAGGGGAAAATTTGTCTAAATTTTATCATAATGCGTGTCTCCAAATTTTATCATGCTTAGGTATAGTCAAGTTTTGTATTTAATCAAAATCTTTTGAACCAGAATTTATTTCCTAATAAAGTCACTGATATTAAGTTTGGCTTATTATTGACCTTATATGTGTATTTTATAGTGTGTTGGCCACTGTAGTCTTATGTGTTGTATTCAGGTGCCCCAGAGGTCCCGTGGCTCCATTCACATGGACAACACCCCCAGAGGCAGCTGGGCCAGCAGTATATTTGATCTGAAGAACTCCCAGGCTGACCCCCTGTTACCTGGCCTGCTGGAACACACCCCCACAGAACAGCTAGACGTACAGAGTGAGACACAGAGGCAACAGAACAGGCAGAAAGCCATATTTGCCTTATATCCAATGCAGGAAGAGGTATGCAGTGTTAGATTTGTGATTTAATATGAATTTGTGAAAAAAATGTTGTTTCAAAATGGGAAGCATGCTTGTGACACTCAGTGTTGAATTATTTGTTTTTGTATAACAGGAGGAGATGATAGAACGCCGTTTGCCTGCTGCAGTTCCATCTGAGCATTTTGGCTACCGGATTCTTGTCAAGTGTCTGCAGCTAAAGTATGTAGATCTATGTGCTGTTCTTTATGGTCTTCTCAGTCTGAATCTAGTTATGCCTATGGTCTTCTTCTGATGCCATAAGCTGCACAATTGAGCTTTCCAAAACTTGATAATGGGGATGCTAACATCAATAAGTTTGCATCTGAATTCATGGATAATTTATGTACCTTGTACTCATCTTTATTGTATCAAGTTGTAAATTTTATTTAAAGGGGAGATAACTTTGAACATTCAATGATTCTATTTCTTAATATTTAGGCTTGAACTTGAAATTGAGCCAATCTTTGCCACCATGGCACTGTATGATGCCAGTGCAAAGAAAAAGGCAAGTATAAATTAAATAGTTATTTTATAAAGTGAATGGTGTCTATTTTGTATCTTTCAAATATTTGTTTCTTACATTTTATTATTAATGATTTTCTGTTAATACTAAATTTGATGAAAGTATTTTAAACATTTAATTAGTGCACAGTGTTTCAGTTAGAAAGCAGATATTTTAATATTGAAGATTATTTTTCACCTGCAGATATCTGAGAACTTTTACTTTGACCTGACACCGGAGAACATGAAGAAAATGTTGGGATCACATATACCATACCAAGACATTTCTACTCTGAGTAGATCTTGTATTTTCAGCATTACATACCCCTCTCCAGATGTATTTCTTGTTGTGAAGGTAAATAAAAACTAAAATGGAGATAGATATAGAAGAAACATTTAAGGCCATACACTTAAGAGAAACATTCAATGTCGTGTTAAAAAAAGAAAAAAGATGGAATGGTAGGCTTTTCTCATTCCTTTTGAAGGTAAAATCTAATTTGTATTCTTTAAGAAAGCAGGGAGATAATTCAAATATTTAAGGGGAGATTTTGTGCCTTTGATAAAAATAATTACATGCAATAGATACAAGATACTGTATATCAAGATGCTTAATAAAATATCAAGGTAAAACATTATTTAATACCATATTTTTCTAGCTTGAGAAGGTGCTACAACAAGGCAACATCTCAGAGTGTGCAGAACCATACATGAAAGATGAAAAGGTAGCTGTATTTCCTTTGTTTTGCTATATTATAAAGGCCAATACCGAGTTCAGTGTGTGGCATGTGAACAGAAACATGTTGAAGGAACTTGTCAGTTACAAATGGGTCAATCAGTTTTTTGAGATTTGAAAAAAAAATTCCATATTAACATAATACAATGTACAAAGTTGTTAGTATTCTAAAGACAGATTCTTGACTAACTTTGTAAATTTCTATATTGTTGCTGTCTTCAGAATCGTGACAAACTAAAAGGCAATGCAGCCTATTTCTGTGAGAAGTTAGGCAAGTACAGGATGCCCTTTGCTTGGACAGCCATCTACTTAATGAACATAGTCAGTGGGGCCAATAGTCTGGACAGAGAAGATAAAGGCATGGAACCTGGGAGCACTAGTAGCCTAGGTAATGTAAAAAGAAACATCAGCTCTGTTGGTGATGTATCTCATTAGTTTAACCTGGACCTTTGCATCTTGCTCAAGTCTTTTGCACCTGGTCCTTTACTGCCATTTAACTTGCATGTCACTACAGGTAGCAAAAAAGCATACTGATGAATAACATTTGGCTCTAGGTATTTTCTTAAGTTATATATAAATTTAGTATTCAGAGAAATATAGTATTTGCTGAAAACTGTACAGTCATGAGTAAAACATTCCCTTATATGAAATATTTATATGTGTAGTTTATATATTTTACAAACCTCAGATCGTAGAGGCACACAGTTTGACAGCTTCAGAAAGAAATCTCGAGATGATGCTGCTTTCGTTCGGCAAGGCTCTTTAGAACGTAGGAAGTCACTGTTGGACAAAAGGGTGAGCTGGTCGCCAGAAGAGGGAGGCACTGGTCTGGATAACTTCAGACCTGTCACACTGACGGTGTCCAGTTTTTTCAAGCAGGTAACTGTTCTTCTCCATCTCATAGTTGGCATTTGAAGTAGTGGATTGAAAATGTTTTTTGTGTTGTTGATGATTGATTAATCTTTTATGAGTTCAGAAAGTCTGTAAATGATGAGAATAGGTGCTCCAGATGACTATTAGTGAAAATGCAACATAAAGTATTTAAGTCAGTTCTACTGCAGTTTGTCAATAAAACCACACCTTGTTTTTGTTGTGCTAGGAGGGAGATAGACTAAGTGATGATGACCTGTTCAGATTTCTGGCAGATCTTAAAAAGCCAACATCTGTGTTGAAGAGACTTAAATGTATTCCTGGTAAGTATGAAGCCATAAATGTAATACCCCCATTGCAGCACATGATTTTAGTATGTCACATATATAAAAAAATAAATAAGTACAGAAATGTCATATTTTAAATTTTGAGTGCTTTATTGGGAAAATATCATGTTTGCAGTCAAACTGATTTTTATATGTAGGAAGAATTATAATTCCATTGGCATTGAGAGCAACACACTGACGTTTCTTTTTCTAGTGAGGTGTGATACTATCTATTATATGCACCTATTTTCTTCTTAGTCCTGCTCTTCCTCTGCTTCCAGGCACCTTGAAGCTGGACATCTCTCCCTGTCCAGAGGAGCCAAAGTACTGTCTGAGCCCTGAGCTCTACAAGATTGACCCCTACCCTGATGACAAGGGCAGGCCGACCAAGGAACTCCAGGAGTTTCCCTCCAGGGAGGTGTATGTGCCTAATACAACATATAGGTAAGGTGTTGCCAGGAAAATCTAGGAGTTCTCCCAAAAATTGTTCTTGTTAGTGTGTTTGTTTTTGGGGTGCATTTCACTTTGAGGAGAGATTTTAAAAGTGGAGATCTTCATTTATTTGGGAATTGACATACAAGGGAGTCTGGTTATCTTATTTGTTATTGTTCTTCCCCAGAAACCTGCTGTTTGTTTATCCAAAGTCTGTGAACTTTGCTAACAGACAAGGAGCTGCTCGGAATATTGCAATCAAAGTTCAGTTCATGGGTGGGGAGGAGGAGGTCCATGCATTACCGGTGAGTAGGGGACTTGAATTCAAGTTAGTAATGAGTGTTGGTTAAGTTAATATATTAGGTACCTGTGAAAGACTTGGCCTATTGAAAAAGGTTCAGATTGTGTACTTCAGTTGAACTGTTAACACATTGTATCTGATGTGGTTTGCACAATGAAAAGTTGTTCTTATCACTGTAATGTTGCTGTGATGTCCCAGCACGATTGTCTTAATTTAAAGAATCCAAGTGATTGAATAGTATCAGCTTTTATGTCACTTTTTTTTAGTGTGGCTGTAGTTTTGAATAACATGTGTGCAGCCTACATTTTCTTTCAGATGACTGTCTATTAACTATACAGTTTTCTACATTCTTGATAAGATTGTTTTTAGACAATAGTTTATGCTGGAGTTATATGCAGTGAACACAGTTTTGAATTAAAACATTTCACAATTATGATAATACCCAGTTGTGAGCAAGTAGTCCCAAAACATAAAATGACATTTGTAATTATTACACAGCTCTATGGCACTGATGACTTTGAGATGAGGAAGTCTTTCCAGAACAATATGAAGGTAGAGCAGTGTAACACTAACATAGACAGTAACAAACTCTGGTCATAGATGCAGCACACTACCAATATCTGTATAGCACTAGTCTGTAGAATAGATTCACTGGCATGTATTTTATCTTATTTTATGCTCCAATACTTATCATACTGACTCAGGGTTATGAAATGTTAGCAGATTTGGGGGTATACAGGGATTAAGCTAGAATACTAAAAGTTGGGAATTTTATATCCAAAATCTGGAAGGAAATTTTTTTAGCATTTGACTCATGTAGGAAGGATGACCCCCTCTACCCTTAACCTGTTTGATTTTGTCCATGAATTTTATAGTTGAATGTTCTACACCTATTACTTTTATAAGATAAAAGGGTTGACTGTAGTTATAGAAATGTTATCAAATGTTATTCTAATAGTAGATTTTGCAAAAATAGATTTTTTTAATCATGAATTTAGTAAGCAAATATTTCATTCCAGAAAATCCAATATTCAATTCCCCCAAAAAATGTTCTTAAAAATCTATATGTATTTTATCTGAATTATTCATGGTCCAAACATTTTTGTCATTTAAATGCTTGGTAATTTCTCTGTTTTCATTTGAATAAAGCTACAAATCACTATATACATAAAGCACAAGTTGAATATCATACAGATGCAAGTATATGTGAAAAGTTGTATGATATGTGACTTGATTAAAGTACTGACATTGTCTGGCATGTGAAGGTTGGACTATATTGAATACTTTAACAAGTTCATATACCTAAAAGGCTTAATGGGACTCATTTAATGTACTGAAATAAAGCTAGTTTTGTGATTAATAATTGCCCTATGACTGAAATATGTCATGTTTACCAATGTAATGTTAAAACTTTATTAGTTTGCTCTAATAATGCGTTCCTTATGGTGTAAATATGAATGATAGTAGTTTGCCTTAAATAAGTTATAGATGAAAATATATACATGGTATATTGATGTATTAACATTTTAAGTTCTCATAGTCCTTTTTTACACCCATACTAACAGCATATGGAAGTCATAAACAACCTTTCCTCAGTAAAAGTAGTTCTTTTCATTTTCAGAATGATTTCACTTTTCATGGAATCTACCTGTATGAATAAAATGGTTCTTAGCATTGTGTCAGCATTTCTTTTGTACATACAAGCCATCATTAATTGTACTCTGTAGTTAAATGGATTAAGAAATGTGTATTTCTTAGATATACTAGAGATGGAGGTTGAGGATATTTACTGAACCAGACGTAAACATTGATGAAAGTCATAATTCCTGCAATAGAAGAGTTGAGAAGGCTCC